ACCTGAAAACATACTTAAATTTACTAATTTTGAACGACAACTACCGGTACCGTTTGTCATATATGCTGATTTTGAAAGTTTATTGAAACCTTTTGCTTACACTGAACCTAACAACAAAGAATCTTTTAATATAAAAACATATGAGCACGAGCCTTTTTCATTTGCTTTTTATGTAAAATGTAACTTCAATGATAAATTTTCTAAATATTATTCTTATCGGGGTCCTAATTGTGCGGAAGTTTTTACTGCCATGATTGATGGTATAGTACAAAAATTGTATCATAAGCATTTTAAACATGTTAAACCAATGAGTCCATTAACAAAAGAACAAATTAATGAATTCGATAAAGCTACTTTATGTCACATTTGCGGTAAATTGTTTGAACAGGTAGATGAAAAAGTGCGAGATCATGATCATTTAATTTCGGAAAACAATTTTCGAGGTGCCGCTCACTCGGTATGTAACTTAAACTATAAAATTCAAAATTATCTTTCTATTGCCCTACACAATTTGTCTAATATGGCAGTATTTATGTCAGATATGACAGAATCATTTTTTAATGCATGGTTAAAAGTTATGAACCCTCCAGAATACAGGTAAGTGTTTTTAAAAAAAGTCTAATTTATACACTATTTAAATATGGAAATTTTGTTTTTTATATTTTCCCAATTTGTAGGCTGTATTGCTGTTGGCATGTAGACCGAGCGTGGAGGAAAAATCTTTCAAAGATTTCTGCCAAGGATATGCAAGTATGTAATATTTATTTATGTAGATTAATATATTTACATAGTTAAAAGTAGTCGATTAGTTATGTCGATAATGCAAAAGTGACATGCAGATTTAATTCATTTAATTGCTTGCAACTAATTTAATTCCCTATAATAATTAAATGAATCAAAAAACTGATAACATGATCTAAAATATCTATAATCTTCATATATAATGTCAAACAAGAAACATAAAGGTGAGGTGAGTTCAATGTTTCATTATCCTTAAATTATCATAGGGAATTGCTGCCGATAAATTGTATATTAAAATATTTTTTCATCAATTTTAATAAAAAAAAAAAATAATATTGTAAATACTCTCAGGTTATTTAATTAAGTTTCTATGAACTGCTTAGAATTAATTTTATATAATTTTAATAATTTTTTTAGGTAGTAGTATACCAACAATTGCGTACCTTACTTCAAGAAACATATGTAAAAGCATTTTCACTTATGTTGGAGACATTTTTGAAAAGCCTCTCTGAGAATGAGGCTACCGTGGAGTTTGCAAATTATTTTAAAATAAATTATGCTAATAAAATTGATACCTGGGCCTATAGTTATCGTCTAAATAGCGGCTTAAATACAAACATGCATTTAGAACGTATGCATCACATTATAAAGTATATCTATCTAAAAGGCAAACATAACCAGAGATTAGGATAGGGTTATTTCTGCTCTATTAAAATTTGTAAGAGATAAACTGTTTGATCAATTAATAACAACCCATAAAGGCAAATTGTGCACTAAATTAAAAGAACGAAGGTCCAGGCATAAGTCTAGCCAAAACCTTGATCACAATTTAGTGATAAAAATGGATACTTTTTGGCAAGTTCCTTCATTAACAACTGAAGAAATATATTTGGTGGAGCAAAGGAAACTTGATTGTGCTTGGAATGTGATGCTTGCTTTCACCAAGATTCATGTACATGCATATATTCAAGCATCAGATATAATATGTGTAAACATATACACTTAGTATGCCGATATGAACATCAACTGGGTGAAAAAAATGCAGTATCACTCATAACAGAAATGGACTTGGATCAAGGTTTGTTGCGTTTTAAATATACATGAAAATAATAAATATTTAAAAAAAAACAGCTTTAAAGTTTTAAAGTTACTGATCTAAATTAATAATAAATGTTTTCAAGTTTATGTCAGTATGTTTGCGGGGAGAGGAGTGTTATACTTTGTAGTGGAGTTATACTGGTAGCTTGTTTTCTGTATTTCTTTGTTACATTGTATAGGTACAAAATTTAATTTGATTAAAATTGTTGTTAACTTAAACCTGAATAGCAATCAAAGTATGATTTTTTTAATAATCAATATCTTTTTCATATTTCAGATGGCAATACCCTAATAATTCGAGAATCTACTTCTGAAAATAAAATTGAGAGTTTAGTTAACATATTAGGTTTTAAGGAAACTGAAGATGGTAATAATGATGATGCTAAGTTAGACAATGAAAAATTACATTTAAAGAACTGGATATGTACTCAGATTGATAAAATTTCTTCAATGCAAGAATTATCTGAAATCAAACGATTAACCGCTCCAATTGAAGCTGTGCTAAATGCTGTTAAAGAAAGAAGCAGATCAATAACAGTACCAGAGAAAAATAATATTATTCCACATAATAAAAATATTCCTAAACAAAGGAGATTGTTTTCAGTTAAAAAAAACCTAAAAAGAAAAATCAGCGATTGAACAAACCTTCTACCATAGAAATTCAAAATAGTGCTGTACAATTACTACATCCCCAATAAATTTGTAACACAACTACATATTGACGTTTATTATTCTATTTAAAATATTCCTAATACTGTATAAAAAGGTTAATAAGTATATTTTGAATTTCATTTATATAAATAATCTACCAAGTAAAGGGAGTTCTTTCATTTAGTGACTTATACTAAATATATAAGATGTTTTGTGTATTAATTCATACACATCACTAGTTTATCTATTTAATGAACCATACAGATTAAAAAATAAAAAATGTTCAGTTTTAGTTATCAAAAACAGAACTGTCAGTTTTGTAAATGTTCAAAACATAGAAAATAGAATTGTATAACAAAACAAAAAAACTATGGAAGACAAAGTTCCGAATTAGGACTGATAATATTAAATAATAGACATTACTATTTAACTGTAGGTTTATATTTAACTGTAGGTAACATTATTTAACCCGCTTCTTATAAGCAGTAAAAGACAAATTACTTTAAAATATATATCCAAGATTGGATTGTTTTGAAGACGACGAGGATGGTCCTTTACGAATACAACATATAAAACTTTTGCTCGATATTACTCATTCTATTTCGTCTTAAAATATAACGAAAAAATTTATATTTTTATCATAAGCAAACAATTATTAATAAAGCAGATTTATATTTAAAAGTTTTGGACAATTATTGCATTACGAACATGTCAACAGTGTCATGTGTTTAATAGTATTTCAATACTGTCACCTGTCACTACTGTCAAGAAGCTTGGCAGCAAAAATATTCAGGGTACCTCTAGACGCAAGTCACTCCGTACATCTGCATTGTCGCATGAATGCTATTATTTTGGTCGTTTCGTTTCTATCTCCAGAGACCTATCGAATTCTATATAGCGCAAGCGTATTATATTCCAAAAGCAAGTTGACAGTAAATTTATTTATTTTTATTTTGGAGATTAAGGTTATGTGTACATTCTAACTGTTTTTGGTTTTTACGTAAGAGTTTATTTTATTTTGTTGAGATCGTGGAAATAGTGTAGGCATGTTACCTATTAATATAATAAACATACTAGCAGCGGAAAATGAGGAGCGGTTAGAGCAAATTCGTATCGAAGCGTTAACAAGGCGCCAAATGCGAGATGAAAGCAATCCTTTCGCTATAGAAGATATTCGATTTAAAGAACTCTTTAGGTTGAATAAGGATATGGCACAATTTGTTTATAATCAAATTGCACCCAATATGGTACATACAAATAATTCAGTAGCCATTCCTCCTCTGCTGAAATTCTTTGGATCCTTAAGGTTTTATGCCACTGGAGCATATCAAAGAGTTATTGGCCGTGGATTTGACATATCCATGTCTCAACAAAGCATGTCCAGAGCAGTGGAAGAAGTTACATCTACTATTATCAATATATTGGAAAATGAATGGATATGTTTTTCAACAACATTACAATCAAAAAATGAAATAAAACTAGGATTTATAGAAGCATTTCATTTCCCTGGAGTGATTGGAGCTGTAGATTGCACGCATGTGGAAATACTACGACCAGTAGTTGAGGAACACAATTATGTCAATAAAAAAGGATACCACTCTAAAAACATTCAATTGGTAGGTTTTTAATGGTTTTATTATATATATACCAAGTTACTTTCCTTTCACTTTTTATTATGTAAATTTATTACTTGTTTCAGGTGCGTGACCATAGATTGAAAATTTTAAACATAAATTGTAGATATGCAGGTGCTACCCACGATTCTTTTATCTGGAGAAACTCAAGAGTGAGAGCAGAATTGGAAATTAATTACCAAAGGGGTATGTTAGATGTTTTACAACAAACTGTATGATAGAAAATACTTTAAATTACATATTTTATTTGCTAGGTGAAAGAAACAGCTGGTTACTAGGTGATTCTGGATATCCACAAGAGCCATGGTTAATGACTCCTGTTGAAAATGCATTGCCAGATACTCCAGAGTATAGATATACTCAAGCACATATAAAAGCACGTAATTGTATTGAGAGATGTAACGGAGTGCTTAAAGGAAAATTTCTATGTATTTCACAAATATTGAGGTATTCTCCAGAAAAAGTTGGCAATATTGCCAATGCATGTGCTATTTTACACAACATATGCATAAATGGTGGATTAGATTTTGATTTGCCATTACATGATGAAAACCCTAATATTCCTATTCCTAACAACTACTTGCTAAGAGCAGTTGGACATAACGCTAGACAAAACCTTATCAACACATATTTTAGATAGGATTATCATATAGGATAGGAAGAAATCATCACGTTGTTAATAACATCACATTTTATTTATAACATTATAACAAGTACAAATTTAATAAAGGATAGATCCACTAACAACTATTATTTATTACTTGACCCACTATTTTTTAAAATCTCGGCCATTATTTTCAATGATGTGGCAATGCTCTCCAGAGATCTTGCCATATTATCAGTATTATTGCTAACATTTTGCAAAAGCTCTACTGATTATCTATTAAGATCCAATAGTTCATTTGATAATGGAACTGTCATTGGCCTGCGTCGAAATGTTTTTTTATTAGTTCCCGTATTATTCTGGTAGTCTAATTTTCTTTTAACGCTTTTATTACCTCCTCCATCTTTTTCCGAATTGGTACGAGAAGTGCTGGGCTGGTTGGTTGGAGTTTCATCTACCTGGTTCTATAAAAAAAAGTATATTTAAATCTAAAACACAAATGAGAATGATCACTCTTTATTGGTACAAGTAGAATAACAATGAATAGTATGATTTTACAAATATGAAAATACTCGAATTCTTGTACAGAAAAAAAAAATAAATTGGATTTATAAATGATGTTGAAAGAGTTTATCAGCAAGTACACTTTATTATATTAAAGTTTTACAACGATTCTACAAATCATATACCTATATCCTAATTGAATCTCAAATGAAAATTTATGAAACCAGACCAACCAAGAAAATGCCATAAAGCAAATAAGGCGAAAAAAATAGACCCCCAGATGATATTGCTTCTATAACACTGTAAAAGTTTATACAGCAGCATTTAGCAACAGTTCAATGCAAAATATTATTACACTAAATACTCAACCTGTCTAAATCTTCTTGAATCAAAGTTATATCAACATTTGAATCTATGGATTTAAATAATTTCAAATCATCTGCAAATATCAGGAAATCGCAATTTCTGTAACATTCTGATATATCTTTCGCAAACATTGGTCATAAATAGTTTGGTAACTTATGAAGAAAACAAATATAATATAGAGGTTTTGTTACTTGTTTAAATTATCAATACTTCAATAGAAACCAGAAACAAAAAGCTCAATTCACATAAATACTCTTAAAATGACATAATAACAATAAGGAATGGAATGTCAGTAATACAATAGATTTATTAGTTATATGATATTATATGAAATTCACATAGATACTCTTACAATGACATAATAACAATAAAGAATCCAATGTCTGTAATACAATAGATTTATTAGTTATAGGATATATGCAATTCATATAAATACTCTAACAATGACATAATAACAATAACTAAGCCAATATCTGTAATATAATAGATTTATTAGTTATATGATATATGAAACCCACCAGCTAGGATGGGGCAGGCAATAACAAGTGTTCTATAATAAGAACTGGTTTAATTGAAATAAGGGAATTTGAATCAACATAAAAATGCAGCAATATTTTTAATATATTACATATTTTAGAGTGGAATGATACTAAATACAGTTTGATTTATGTAAACTGTTATATTATGATGAATTAGCATACACCAATTTTTTATATATAATACTGAACATCTGAAAATTTGTTTAATGAAAATAACTAAGGATTACAATAAAAATGATTCAAATGTGGCATGTTTATTTCTCATCAAAAAACAAACATGCACAAAAATTACTATTTTTCAAATTCTAACATTATTCCAAAAATAAATGTACCTACCTCGATATAATAATCATGTTCCACCATTATACTATTATTTGTTATTTCAACATGTTCAACCTACCAAATTAAATTATTATTAGATTTTTACATATTTTCCACAATATGGTTAGTATATTACTATAAATTATAAAATTTATCTACCTCTCCAAAACCTAATTCGAATACAGACTCATTACCAATGACAGCAGTGACCCCCATAATACTTAATAGTCTATTCTCTAATGTGGATAAAAGAGGTTGCTGGGGTGAACCAGCACCAGTCTTTTGTTGTGCCTTTCTTAAGGAAGCTGCTTTCGCTTTCCTTTTGGACTTCCAATCTGTTAGTGTCTAAAAAGGTTAAACATTAGTTTTAAAATACTATGTTTCCACACAATCATTTTGTGCATGATTAATTAATTAAAATATTTACCTTTCTCCATCCCTGTATGCTTTTTTCGCCATATCCTAAACTGTTTAATTTTGTGGTAACAGTTTGCCACACAGCCATTCCTTCAGCTCGTCCCTCACTTCCATTAAATTTATTCGTTATTAATTCTGGATATTCGTCGCAAAATGAAAGCAACATTTCCCAATGTTCCATTCGGACCCTCATTTTTATCCAAAAATATAACGAAGATGAAACTCTTTAAAATAACTTCAAATAACAAAACCAAACAGCAGCATGCAAATGACCCGCGTAATAAACCGAAAAAGTCAAGCCAAACGATTAAAAACCCCAAAAATAGTACTTTCTTTCTCTAAAATGTGTTACAAACAAAGATATTAGACAATAAATGCGATATTTGAGTAAAACCAACAGTTTAATGTTTTTACATTCAATAATAGAGAGATCGGAAAATACCGAAGTGAAACGACATACGCACGGAGTGCCAATACACGTTAAGTCTGTTTTAGACTATAACATAAAATGATATAAGAAAATGGTATAACAAAAACTTACATGAAATGATTGTGTACAATATTAATACAAGAAGTTTCGTGTATTACATTGTCACATTTTCATACTAGAATATGTTATGTGATTCTGCGCATTACATGCTAAAAAGTATGTTTTTATTTTGGTACATGAACTGTTAACCTCAATGTTCTTCTTTTTCTTTTAACAATATTTTAACCTCATTTTTCCATTGATATATAATACAAATTTTGTCCTAGTTTTACCTTTGATATTTTATATATGATGGATAAGAAAATTTTATTATTATCCGCTGCTTCTATTGCAACATTTCTTCTTATTCAAACAAGCAAGAAAAAACGCCAACGAAATATGTGGTCTAGAGCTTGGCTTCAGAATAGACAGGAAGGTCGTGGGGTTTTAAATATGTTGGAATCAGAACTTAAAGACAATGATCCTGAGAAATCCTGAGAAATGTGTGAGCCACAGTTTAATGAACTTCTTGAGCTTATTCGAGAAGATATTACCAAACAGGATACAATTTTAAGACAAAGTGTATCTGCAGAAAATAGGTAAGTAATTATATTAAGAATATCAAGTTTTGCAAATGATATTTAGTTATGGTTTTAATTTTAGGTTGGCTTTAACTCTACGCTTTTTAGCAACTGGTGAATCTTATCGTTCTTTGATGTTTTCAACTCGAATTCATGAAAGTACGATTAGTTTGATAGTACCAGAAGTATGTAAAGTCATTTACCAAAGACTAAAAGACGAATACATGAAGATGCCTCAAACTGTAAGCGAGTGGCAACAAGTGGCAAGTGACTTTGAAAATTTGTGGCAATTTCCAATGTGCCTTGGAGCAATTGATGGCAAACATATTAACTTTCGTGCTGCACGTAGCAGTGGATCTTATTTTTACAACTATAAAGGACAGTTCAGTATAGTACTGCTGGCAGTATCAAATGCTGAATATAAATTCCTATATGTTAATGTAGGAGTAAATGGGAGAATGAGTGATGGTGGTGTATTCAGGGAATCCTCACTCAAAAAAGCCATGAATAGAAATATACTCAATTTCCCTCCAGAGCAACATTTACCCATGAGCAACACTGTTGTGCCCCATGTATTTGTTTGCGATGATGCATTTCCCTTATCTGAACACATGATGAAACCTTATCCCACTAGAAATTTATCTAATGATAAAAGAATTTTTAATTATCGTTTGTCTCGAGCTCGGAGAGTTATTGAAAATGCATTTGGCATAATGTCCAATAGGTTTAGAGTGCTTTTATCAACAATAAATTTGAGTCCAGATAAGGTTGAAACAATCACTCTTGCCTGTTGTGTCCTGCACAATTTTTACAATGGATGCACACTTAATAAATCTATGTCAATCACAAGGTCCTAATAGGCCAGCAGAAATTGCTTTATCTGTCAGAGATAAATTTAAAAATTATTTTATGAATGAAGGTTCTGTACCTTGGCAAAATAAATGTCTTATGTGATTAAAATAGTATTGTACAGATTCATATTTAATAAAACACAATTTTTATTGTAATCTTTTTATTATTTTTTACCAACTAGATCTATAAATTGCCTACCTACTAATTTTTTATTCTAAGTCTTCAAGTTGGGCTTTATACAAAATATTGTCAATTTTTTGTTCATAACAATCTTCTTTTATTTTTTAAAGTCTCTCTGTCAAATATTTTTCATAAATGGCGTTTTTATCCACATTTGATGCACTATTTATAGCATGTCCAATTTCTTCCTTCTTTTTTTATTTGGTGTCTCATATACTTCATCTGAAGTTTCTTGAACCTCATTCGAAAGAGGTGATAAAATTCCATCATCCAAATTTCCAATGTGCCTTGGCGCCATTGATGGCAAGCACATTAGCTTTGGTACTCCATGTAGCAGCAGATCCTATTATTATAACTATAAAGGACAGTTAATTACTATTTATAACTGGGAATAAGCCACAATTAAAGATAAAAATACGTTTATTGACGTTTCAATTTCCAATTCGGAAATCGTTCTCAAAATACAAACAGTAAATTAAACAAATTTTGTTTTTTGTTACATAGTGAAAAAATTCTTCTAATAATTTAATTTTATCTGACTCATTTATATTGACAATTCAGACATACATTATGCATTCCATTCCATTCCATTTAAATCCATTCGCGAATAACTCGAAAATGGTGCATTTTATCAAAAAAATTGTAGAGAACAAATTTGTAGCTTTTAAAAAGACAAATACAATTCATTTTTTAAAATGTTTTTTCGATATAATAGGAACCAAAATACGGCCTATCAATGTTCAGCGGTTTTCTTCAAATGCCAAATTTGAAATATTTAAAGTCAAATAAGTATCGGGAAAATGATGCATTTTTGGAAGAAAACTCACAAAACCTTTTTTAAAGAGCATAAATAGACATATCATAAAAAAGACTCTAGCTCAAAAATTGAGTGAGTTAGGATGAAAATAAGGTCAATACCTCATTTTTTACGAAAAAAACCGATGAAAACAACCCCCTAACCACCCCCATAATTAAAATCGATCTTCACCCTTCTGCAATTCCCTTTGTACATGTATTGTTAATACGTCCAAGAAGTTTGACCCATTTAAAATGCTTTATGTTAGAAAAAGTACAGCTTAAAGCGAGAAACGATTTACAATTTCATATTTTTTACCCTTCGTTTTTTAAATATGCCCGAAAATACTGAATATATGAAAAAAATAAAAATTACCAAATTGTAGCTTTTTTAATGACTAAAGTTATCCCATATTTAGATTTGTTGTACAATGAATATTTGGCGAGATATAGCCGTTTAAAGCATCGATTTACGATCAAGCACCATCTTTTTCGAGCCCTTTAAACTCACCTAATTTAAAAACCAAGGGTTCCAAAAAGATTTAATTCACAGATCCTTGTAGCTCTTAAAAACCTCAACAAATCGTTTTTGAAGAAACACTCTATCGTTAAAAATTAAAGGAAATACGTTAAAAAAAAAAACAGTGAATTTTTTTCCGAAAAATTCCATTAGTACAGTATACATTTCGGAGCATAATAATCTACAAAACCGGTATATTAGCTAGTGGGGCGTTATACATTCGAAATTTTAAGCGTTCTAATTTTGAAATCCCATACAACAGAATAAAACATCTGCTCATATGGCTATGGCTTGGCAATGAAAATATCAGAGCAACAGATTGGGGATGGTATTCCAAAGATGGTTTGTTATTACCCGTACGCATGAACAAACAACCTGCACTCGATAAACTTTTGAAAATTATTTTTTGCCAATGCAAAAAAGGATGCGGTGTTTTATGTGGGTGCAGAAAAGTTGGTTTATACTGTAACTCTACTTGTTCTGGGTGCTCAGGTGAAGGGTGCAATAATAGTCCACTAATAATTGAAGATAAGGATGACATAGATCACGATGAAGATGTAATTGATGACGAATAAGATTAATATTATAATTGTTTTACCTATAAATGTAAATATTTTCAACTATGTATGTAAATGTATAAGAATATATGGTGCCTTTTTATGTTGATAAAAATTTTTTTGTGTTTAATTCTACTTTTTTCAATTTATATCTTATAAATTAGTTTTTAAAAACTGCAATGTTGTAAAGGGTGATTTTCAAAAGTTGAAAAGTTGCAAAATTTTGGCAAAAAATTGTTTTCACCGATAGCACTCATAACAATTGATTTTTAAGGGTAGAAAATGTATGAATTTGTATTTTAAAGTATATAAAAATCACTATTTAACTAATCCTAACCAAATTTCACTCATCTTAAGATTTATAATATTATTTCACAATTTTTGAAAATTAGGGGTAGTTTTCACCCCTAAGAACAATCAGGGTTCATCGGCATGACATAAACTATAAAGCAGAGGGTGAGTTGAGCTTAATTCCAAATTTTTATGCAAATCGTTCCAAGGTGAAATCATTTTCTTCGCATTACTAATTTTTTTATATTAATCTCTAATAAGGGTCGCTTTTTAAGGGCTGAAATATGATGGAACTTTATTCAAAAGCACGAAACTATCCTTATTTAATTAATTCAAACCAAATTTTGCCCATATTCATGTTTAATATATTATTTTATAATTTTTGACAATTAGGGGTAGTTTTCACCCCTAAGAACAATCAGGGTTCGTCGACATGACATAAACTATAAAGCAGCGGGTGAATTGAGCTTAAATCCAAATTTTTATCCAAATCGATCCAAGGCGAAATCATTTTTTTAGAATTAGTAATTTTTTACATTAATCTCTAACAAGGGTTGCTTTTTAAGGGTTGAAATATGATGGAACTCTATTCAAAAGTATAAAATAATTATTATGTAACTAATTCAAACCAAATCTTACCCATATTCAGGTTTAATATATTATTTTATAATTTTTGACAATTAGGGGTAGTTTTCACCCTTAAAACCCTTCAGCGCACTATGGTTCGATATAGATTTTGATCCTTGGGCTATCACCTACCTTCTGTTAAAATTTCAACTGGACAACATGCAGGACGAAAAAATTGCGAGGATTTAACTTTTTTCGAGCTTAATTTCCTGAACTATTATCGTTTCCTTAGACAAACCCGTCTTACGCAAACAACATTGTTGTGAGACAGATAGTTGAACGATATTTTATACAATGTCTATACCCAGGTATGGATTTATTTTTGTCCAAGTTTTATATTGGTCCACTATTTCAAATGCAGTTCAAACAGACATGTATTAAATTGTATGTTCCGTTTTAATTTGGTTCAATCTGTATATATATATATATATATATATATATATATATATATATATATATATATATATACAGATACAGATATAGTAATGCATATTCTAAATGTGCTGGTGGTAGATGGCTTCTGTGTGCTGCATGAGAGAGAAGGTATTCTAAATAATGAAAAAACAAATAATATAAAATGTGTTATTTCATTCTTTCAAATACTTTCTCTCATACAGTACACAGAAGCCATCTCCCACCGGCACATTTAGAATCTGTGCATTACTATTTTTTTACTCTAATTTCTCCAGTTGTGCTTCAAATAAAATTGTATTAATTTTTTGTTTAACTTGCAATAATCTTTTTTTGTTTTTTATTTTTAACAGTCTCTCCGTTACATATTTGCCATAAATAGTGTTTTCATCTTCACTATTCATTATGTTTATTGTATTAGCAATACTATCTAAAGCATTTGATGCTTTATCGGATACTGATAGTGTTTGTTAGCCTTTCTTCTTTTTTTTAATTGGCGTCTCATACATATCCTCAACGATAATTTCTTCAATTACATTTGGAAGCGGTGATAGCATGTCATCATCACCTAGTTCATATTCCACATCTTGGCTTGAAGTACCCACATCTTGGCTTGAAGTACTTGCTCCTTCATTAATTTCGAATGATGAAACTGGCTTCCTAGTTGTTAAATATTCATTTAAAAATTGGAGTTTGTGGTGGTACCACAGTTTTGGAACATATATCTGCAAAAATATAAACATGAATAAACATATTACTATAAACACTTGTAATGTTTACCTCACTTACTCCAGCACCACTTTTCTGTGAGTCTAAAATCTTCCTCCTTTCTGCACTGTAAGTGTTTCTAATGCCGTTCCACTTTTTCTGAATATCTGAAATTGTTTTCCCTAATATTTCGCTAGTTGTTTAAAGCAACATTTCTCTTCTGTTTATTATGGTAATCTTTGTGTTTTACATTGTATAAACATGGATTAGATTCGTATCCTTCTATTAATAGAATAATACTGTCCGTTGACCAAGACATATTTAAATTATTTCAAATTAAAAAGAAAATGCAACGAGGTAACCACAATGGAGGCAACTAAAAACAAACCCAAACAACAACAGTAGTTATCAGTTATAACCTCAGAAAAAGCAACGTGTCTATTATGACATATGACATAAACTAACCGTGTTCCGTGGTTACAAAGGCGAAAAAAGACGAAGAACCTAACTGCGCATGCGTGTGTACTAATAATTGGTATCAAAATAGGATAGGTTCTAATTTCTATAACATTTTTTGTTAACAGATTTTGTTTTCTGTTTTACATTATAACAAAACTTAGTATACCACTTTCTTATATCATTTTATGTTATAGTCTAAAACAGTCTTTAGTATCGCCGTTGTAGATAGAAAACGACAATAGAATTCTACGATAGAATTCTATGTGGCACGGAGTCCCGGTGCTGGACGAAAATTTGCAACAAAATAATTGAAGACCTATTTACAAAAACAACGTAACTGTATTTTTAATGTTTTACATAAAATAGAAAAAACCTAATTTCTTTGAGAGAATTGGAAATTTTAATTATATTATGTATAGATATTATAGAATAGTGTGTATTTGTTTAAATGTGTATATTAATTCCATTGAAGATTGTTTTTTAGAAAAATAAACAGAAATCTTACCTTGACACTTTTTGTAAAATTTTGTTACATATGCAGTATTTGTGCGAATCTAATAGGGTATGTAAGAGTAGATATGTTGTTTTTGTGAAAAATCCTAAACAAAACAATATTAATACATTCAAAATATATTTATTCATGAAATTTACAGTGAATTAAAAAGTAATTAAAGTTTAATTTTCTGCGCCACTACTGTTGTCCTCGCTGTCGATATCATTAAGAGATATTATTTCTTGAACAGCTAAATTTGAATATAAAGAATCATAAAATTCCTGACTATCTGGATTTGAAACATACTTCTTCAACTTCTGCAAATCCTTAGCTTTAGAAGGATTCAGTGGCAATGAGGACTCATATAGCTGTTTCAGCTCCAATTCCTTGGGCAACTTCCGTTTGTTTCGTATGTTGATCCTGTGCCATGGACCTGTAAATGTATATCTAACTAATACATATGTAAATTCTTTACTCATTTTAATCATTCTAACTTCTTTTAATTTCATAGGTGGTTTACTTTGACGGAAAAAATACTTCTCAACGGCTTCCTTTGTATTTAAGAAGGCATCATGTGTAATTGTGTCAACTTTGTAAGGAGATGGGTGTACCCGAGCATTTTTCATTACATCGTTCCAATCTTCTGGAACCTCAGCAGTACATTTTCTTTTCTTGGTACCAATTAGACTAAAATCTTGGTCATTGGGTAAATATGTATGACCTCTAATAGAAAACACATATTTAATGGAGTCAAACAGACCGATAGCATGTACCAAGCAGTACAGAAAATAAACCATAACATAATTTTTGTTTTATCCTGAGCATCCATCACTAATCAATACTAAATTTCTGGAATAAATTTCATTGTGATTTAAATATCTGAGTAATAATTTTGTGACATCATTTTGGCCTTTCTTACCGTGTTTCTAAGTAACTGTTTAAAACAACATTATTTTTACCAATATCACGAATCCCAAATACAAACATCCACAGCTGGCGACAATAAAAAACATCACTGGTACGTATGTGTGGCAAAGGTAGGTTTTACATATAATCAAAGGTGAGCAACATTATCTTACTTTGTTGGGCATCTTGCTTTAGTTTTCTTTTAATTTCAGTAAACTTCTCAACCTTCTTTAAATGCAGTTTGTGCTCAGTTTTAAGTATGTCTATTTCTTCTAAATTTGCCAACTGAATTTTTAGCTTATAACTATCACATGTGGCACATGTATCGGTTCGTGGAAGACCAAACTTGAGATTGTACTCATTTTTGAAAACTGCCCAATACACTACATATGAAACTTGTATTTGATACAATTGTAAAAATAATTTATACATTTTATTTACTGACAAATCCTCAGCAAATATCTACAGTTGGGATTTTTTTTCAAATAATAATGTGATTATCGTGTACTAAAAGACTCAATATGATAGCGGATTAACTTCAAAATTTCCTCTGGTGTTTTCTTATACCGGTTTCTTGGGCTGCCTCTCTTGTCTTTAGGTGTTAATATATTAGCAGAAAGGAGATCTTGAAGCCTTCTAATGCGACCTTTTGTAACACTATGTATATTACAAAAGGTAGTAAGGCATACAGGCTGTTCTTTTACATCTATACGAATTTTGTAGGAATAAGTGGCCATTCGAAATTTTTTAGGTGGTTCTTTTGAATGTGTTTTTGGGTAGGATGACGAAATATAGCTCATTAAATAGGCATCCTGAACGTTTTTTACTCCCAAATCATTGAAATGTGTCAATATTTTTTGACGTTGTTCCTCGGAAATTTTTTCATAACATTTATATAGCTTGCATCTGAAACAATATAATCTTATTATTGTATGTAGTTATAGGAGAGAATTTAGTGCAAAAAACAACACTAGTATTAGTAACAGATACTTACCTATAGGTACTTACCTACAATCAGGTCCTACTTTGCGAGCTGGGATTAACCTTTTTTATGGTTAATATGTTCAATGCCTTTAGCTTTCTTAATTTTTATTACATTTTTCTTTTTCTCTTTATGTTTTCGTTTTTTATTTAGTCCAGCTTCACTTATTTGATCATTCATTTTTATCAAAAACGTAAATATAAACTTATAAACTGAACTTTGAGGTTAGGTTATATTATTTGACAGCTTGACACAGACAAGCATGGACATGGAAAACATGGATATTTTTGCCGTTTAATTTTAGCGTTCTGTGTCATTTTTGTAAAATATCTTTTACACTATCCGATGTATCTTAAAACAAAGAGTTGCCTGGAGCATTAACTCGAATTTTGAAAAAATGTGGGTTATGTTGTTTTTGTAAATATGTCTTCAATTGTAAGTCTGTGCTTTTGCTTGACAATGTTGTTGTGTTTAGAAAGCATAATAAAAATTAACATACTTCTGTATAAAACTTAAATTTGTATTTTTGTTGTAGTACCAGAAGATGATAGATTGGCTGCTGGCAGAAGAGTAAGAAGTCAGTTAATACGAAATAATTTCAATTAGGATTTAAAATTTGTATTTGATTTTTTTTTGATCAAATAGACACCTGAAGTTAAAGTGTACCGGATATATTCGTCCCCTTGAATTTTTGACCTAGTATCATTCTTTTATGTTTAATGTTGTGAAAATGAATATTTTTATGTACAGCAGTTGCTATCAACAAGTCCTCACACACACTTCGTTTAACGACTAGCAACCCCAGTGGAGTCATGTGTTGCCATGTTGCCAATTCCTTTTGTAACTTAAACATTATAGTTTATAATTTAAAAAAATGTAACTCGAAGTTAATCAAATAACATATAAAAGGTTTTTACCCACATTTTTAGTGGCTTCAAACATGTACATCCAGATAGCACGGATGATGGAATATTAATTTTGAAAACATTCTGTGATGTAATTTTTAAAATAAAATTTTTCATGTATATTTAAAAAAATAAAGAAACAGGTAAAAAATGTGTATTTTATTTATTTATTCAGCAAGTCATAATACTAAAATAAAATAATTGCTACCTATATATGTTTTATCTTTTTACATTATTTTACTACCTATATCTGAAATTATATACTATATCTGAAATTATATACTGGACACTTCTCACAGTGTCTCTCAATAAGAATACCTAGTAAAAGTATAAATAAATATACATGTATCTAAAATGTTGTTGTAAAAAGGTGGTCAAAAGAAGTATCACTTTGTGCATCATTATCTGCAACAACTAAGTCCTAATTCTACTTCCCTAATCCTAATTTCCCTATCCCTTAAGTCTAATTCCCTAGATTTAGTTTTAGCTTCTAGTAAACTTATATTTAATTCTAGTTCCTTCAATTCAAGCTCTTTTTCTGTATATTAAGTGCCAGCCTCAGTCTTAGCCACGGAATCAATTAATTTATTAATCATATCGGCAGTCTGCTTTTGTCCTTCCATATAAGCTTCTGCCGCTTTTTGTAAATTGGATGACTTTCCTGAAAAAATAAAATACTATGTTGCACATTTACACAATTTTTTAATTTAAATTACAAACAAAAATCACTTTCTACTGAAATGAAGTGTACCTTTTACAATAGATTTTTTTTTAATTTACGAGAGTAGTTCACAGGTTGACCCAATATTGCGGAGGTTCTTCATTGCCAAAGTTTCCTCTCCCATGATTTATTGCGCTGCAACCATCTGCAGCATTCAGATGGGCTATTATTATCCTCTACCATGTCCAGTGATTGGCTGTTTGGATGCATTTCAATACCTATCTTATTTACATCTGCCCCCGTAACTGTAATGTATGATAGGGCAGCCATTAGTTTCTCCTCTACAGGAGTTAATATTTTTGAGTCTGCTTCACCCCCGCCGCCCGTCTTATTTTTAGCTCTAATAACATCTCGGGTCTTTTTCTTGGTATTACTTTTACAGTCAATAAAAGTCTAAAAACAATCATACATTAATAGGTACCTGTATTACCAAATCTTTATATAATACTGTATAATAATAAACACAACTAATTACCTTTTTCCATTGTAATTTTAATTTGCTGGGACCACAACCTATAGCATTTAAAGCTAAAGTAAGCTCATTCCATAATTTTTCAACAAGCTTGTTGTTAGCTTCTGAAGGCTTGGTTTTTCTGTGAAGCAAAATTTTATTTTTTGTAATAAAATCCACCATATAATTTAGTTGTTCTATAGATATTTTCTTCTTGCTTGGAGTAGCCATTGGGATTTTATAAATAATTTAAAAACTTTAATCAAAACTTCAAATTCAAATTTATCTATCAATCTGTCATTTTCTAGAAAATTCGACGTTGCCACTGTTTTTAAACCGAGGAAAATCAAAATCAATGTTTTCGATTTGTGTTTTCTTCGACCCGTGTTATAGAATACCGATCCAAGAAATGGTCGATGTGAAACATTACGATTCACAAAGATTTCGATTCGACTGGAGCATTTCAATTCGATCTGAGGAACGTTATAAAATAATAAGTCCTAATAAATGGAGTACCTCGGAAATAAACCAATTAATACGTTATTTCAGAGCGATTGATGTTCTGTATGATCAGTCTTTGCCTGGATGCTCCAATAGAGACTTATCTGATTCTTTGTGGCAAATTATAGCCAGCAGATTGAATCAGACAGATAAATATTTTATTTGTATGTATATATATTCCATTTAGAGAATATATTCCAAGTTATAGAAATGTGTGATTTGTGTCAAATGTTAAGAGCTGGGTATAGGAAACGGAGACACGGGGAATATGAAGCCCCTTCAGGAAGTGGTGCAAAGCCGATAAAGAAGTGGGTCTATTTTTACCAACACTTTTCTGAAACGACACATTTAAGATCGGCCTTCCAAATCAAATATACCACTTCCTGAATCTTTCGATTCATTGCCGCCATCAGAAAATTCAGGTAGTTCTTTCCAACTAGATGAAGACGGGCTTTTAGAAACAGATAAGGGTAAAACTATTACGGTGTATGTGGAAGACACCCAAGAGCAGGAGGGTGTTTCATGTACATCACCTAAAAACAAAAAAAGGAAAGTATCATCAAATGAGGTGGATAAGCATATGTCGGAATACATAGAAATAATGAAACAAAAAGAATTAAATTCAAGAACAAAAAAGAACAGTTCGAGTGAGTTATTTTTATTAAGCTTTCTGGATGATGTGAAGGCAATAACATCAGACAATTAAAGGCTCTTTAAACGAAAAACTTTACAGTTAATAGAAGAGTTATAATAAAGTAAATTTTTCATCAGAAAATAAAATTATTAAACAAAATAAAATTTTATAATAATATATCTTTGTATATATCCTTGCATATAAATGTATATCCTTATACAAAGCACATCCTTGCTTTGGCAGTTACCATACCCAGGAACAATTCTAATGACTACTTTCGTATTCATTCAATGCATATTAAACAGAATAGTTGCTGCACAGATTTCTGATCAAGAAACACCTAACAATGGCTTATACGGGCTTTACACCAACAATAAATAAAGAAATTCGTTAAGTCGCTTCAAGGTCAACTTTGATGTATGTAAAGCACAATTTGACATCCAATTTTACGTGAATAACTTCGTGAAGAAATTGACGAAATAGAACATGTTCTATTTTTCGCATTTATTGGACGTGAATTCAGTGTCACCAACCTGTGTGGATTTGGCGGGAAGTAGGGCTTTTACCAAATAAACGCATTCCGCAAGTTTTTATTGTTTGTTTGTTGATCTGGCTGCAAGCCACGTGGAATACCTAGTTTATTTTATAAACATTTTTAATTTAAAAATGAGTTGGAAAAAAGGTAAGCTTATTATCGTACATAATTAATAAAACAGAAGATAATATATGTATTTTTTAGGAAAAAATATGTATTTTCCCGCGAGGAATGTTAGTATTTAATTTCATTGTATGAATTACATCCCCAATTGTATGAGATATCCAATAGTGATTATAAAAATAAAACAAAAAGATTATTTTCATTAAAATCGATAGCAGAAAATTTTAACAATAAATACCCATCGGCCAACGTGGGGTGGATGATATCCGAAAAAAGATAAACAGTCTGAGGACTCAATATTTTGCTGAAAAAAACAAAATAAGGAGCAGCATGACCAGTGGTAGTGGTACAGATCAAGTTTATTGCCCCTCCTTATGGTGTTTCGAAAATCTAAAATTCCTGGATGGCAGTAATCCTGTACGTTCAAGTGTGTCCAATCTAGTGGTGGAACAAATAAGTGAGCTTAGAGACCCTGTCAATGAAATAGAAGTACTCTATGATGGGCCTTCGAGTCACTTATTTGAGCTAGACTGGAATGGGCATCCAGGAATTTACAAAAAAGAATATTAGAGTCCTCAGATGTTTTACTTGATTCGGCATCTACAAGAATATCTATAGAATCAGAGACAGAATTGTCTGTACAATCTGATATGCCACAGACTTCAGAAACTAATTTGGATTTAAATCTCTCAAATCGCATTATTTCTCACACGAGTGATTGTAGAATTAAGAAACCGTCTTGTGCTTTGGCAGAGCATGTAATAGACAAAGACCATATTATGGATTTTGATAATATTAAAATTTTATGTAATGAAAGTAATAAATTTAAAAGAACTTTTTTGGAAATGGTTTGTATTAGCAAAAGTGATAATAATTTAAACAAAAGGTCAGAAATTCAAATTTAAGCAAAATTTATAATTATATAATTTCTATTTAATTTATGCAGTCAGTAAAATATCACATTTTGAATTTTCCATGTATTTGTTACATTTTTTCGGGCATCTATCAATGGTGAATAAATCTTCTTCTTTTTTGTTACTTAACAAAGAAGAATTTTTTAAACAAAATTTTATTTTTGACAATATGTCAAAAATAAAAATTTTTAAGTTAGTATTTATTAGTAATTAGTATTTATAGTAGTCATTTTAGGCTGGTTGAAGCTATTCTATTTTTGTTTATAAATTCAATTTTTTATCTTAAGAAACTTCATCTAAATTTTTCAGAGAAACATTTATTAGAATAAGGCATTTTTTTTATTAATATTTTTTTGTATTTATTATGTAAGCAGTAGTTTTATATAAAAAACTAAT